TCACTGTAGTGTCTAAAAAATAGTCAATGCGTCATTTGTTTTATGACAAACAACTAAAGGTTTACAAAAAATAGTCACCAGTAGATGCACTAAATACAAAAAATGAGAATTTTTCTGTATTATTTATCTGTATTTCTAAATTAAATAGACTCAAACCAGTGTGCGTCAAACAAAAAGTGAGTTTATAAAGCTTTTCGTACAAAGTTAAAAGGAGAAAACACCCAGATGTTATTGTTCCAGTGAGTGGGTGATGTGTGTTTACAAAAATGCAGATGTTTGTGGAAGAAAAGCTGTCGCTGCGAAGGAAGAAATAACCAAGTTCAAGCAAAAGCTCAGAGAAAAAATTAGATCTTTTATCAAACAAACAAAAAAGATTATTATCAGCGAGGTAAATATTTGGATACAAACAAAGCTGACAAATAATTTCCTCTGTTTTAGGTGGATAAACAGAGCTGTGTACTGGCAAGAATTTAGTGATACAATAAATACACAGGGGTCACGATACGATACATCGAGATATATTGCAATACTGTAAGCAAGGCAATATATTGCCCTTTTTTTCTTTAAATATTCAAATTTTAAAAGAACTATGTTTTACATGTTTTATATTCCTTACTTTATCCATGTTTTCAATGGTTAGGCCAAATGTGCCATTAAATACCGTATTTATTCATGTATAATACGATCTCGAGTATAATATGATCATCATTTTTTGAGCTTAAAAAGAATAAAGATCTAATTAGAAATAACCCGTGTATAATACTACCCCTCCACTTTATAGATTATTTTTAGGGTTAAATTTCTAGTAATATGCATGAATAAATAAAGTAGTTTGATAATATATTTGTGGTAGCTTTTATAATATTAATTTATTTAAAAAATATGGTCACCAACCACGATAACATTAACTTATATCTTATGCTAGAGTTCAGTAAATAAATTAAATGAGGCTGCTACAGTCTGTGTGGCTCCCAGCATAATAAAAGATAACAAGAAAAACAAGAAACTACAAACAAAAAACATATAACAGGCACAAAAAAGGAGGTAAGATTGTTGTTCATTGTCGACAAAACAGCAGCAGAGCTTAGATTGTTATTCAAGTCATCTGTTGAAAATTACTGTATATTTTTCATGTCACAACGTTACTTTATTCTGATATCATACAGCCCTGCAGCTGACAGCAGCACAAGCCAGCGGTCAGGGTTTTAACGTACCTTCTTCCCCGCCTGCTTATCCACCATGGCTCCATCTCGGTCACCCCCAGGTTTGGCCATGGTGCGGCACCTTACTAGCTTAGACGCCTACTGCACAGTCGGCTCATCATGCACCTGAGAYAAGACAACAGCAATGAGGAACATCTCAACTTCAACCAAGTGTGTCTGAACAGACGGCTGTAGGGTTGGGCAATATGGTCAATCATTTGTGGAAATATGGTACTTCACCTCACGTGACTAATACCGTCACAGTTTTTACATACCATCACCATATTTCTATACAACGGTATGAAAATACCTTCATATCATCCAAGCCTATATGCTATTTATGCAACTGTAGTTATATGTATTTATTTATTTGGTTTCTGCTTTTACTTTCATTCATGTCAGTTTCGGTCCTCCATAAGCCTAGACGGCAGAGATGAGTAAATCTCGGCTCATACAGACAGACCCGAGCAAGAGAAGAAGAGGGTTCAAAGACATGAGAGGACGCCCTTTTTCTCAACACACTTCCAGCAAATGTCTTCCACAGACTCAACCACAGAGGAGTGAGGTGGCAGCCTGTGTGAGCAGATCAGTAATCAGGGAGTTTTATTGAACTTTCCATTGCACTTCTGCAGAATCACCTGAAAGAAAAGCTCAGGAAACGACGACATGAGGCAGCATGAATCATGGCGTTGGGGACTCTTCCGTCCTCGGCAGGATAACGTCCCCCTGCGTGTCGTTACTACGCACACTCATCGTGTAACCCAAGCTGCTCTGATGTGGTTCATGTCGAAAAACCAAAAAAGAGGCGGCAGGGAGGTGCAATGTGGGCACAGCCTGGAGGAAAACGTAACAATCAGCTGAACCCTCCGAAAATCATCGTATCACATGAGGGTTATCATTTTCAGTCATGAGACTCCATTCTCAAATACTCTGAATGAACTTTCCCTGCTTCCTTTTTACGCTCAACGCTCTTTGCCTGAGCAGAAAGATTTTATTCTAAGTTAAAAAACCAAAAAACAAAAGCTTTGATGACAGGGAGAGACCCATTACTCAATTTGAAAATAAATTACTACTTAATAAACTTTATAATTGACATTTACTTTTCTAAGAACAAACATGACTGTANAAATTACTACTTAATAAACTTTATAATTGACATTTACTTTTCTAAGAACAAACATGACTGTACTGGTTTTTGTGCACTGCATTTAGAGAAAGCAGGACTTTACAGGAAATAAATCAATTTTATAGATTTTTTTAACAATCAACAGGTTTTATTATACTTTATTAAATAATGACCAAAATAAATATTGTGCTTATGATATTACTTAAAATTTAAGCAAAGACTGAGCTCTACAAAGATGACAAATTTGACTTCTTTAAAAGAACTAAGAAGTTTTAGGTTAACAGGCAAGATTTTAAAGACATAAACAGAATCTAAACTTCCTTTTACCAAGCGGTAAAAAACTCACATCTTTACTCAAAATATCATTCAGGAACAATATTCTGCTGCTTTAATACTGACTCATTTGTTTTTATTCAAAACAATTAGATAAATTTAATCGCAATTCATTGAATTCCTTTGTGGTCATTTTAAATGTTTTAACACTCCACTTGATTTGCAACATTCACAAAAGTTAGCCATTGTTCATCAACACAAACTYTATTTACTTATTTAACCGTACAGTTTGTGCAAATATAAACTAAAAACACCACTTTCTGCAAAGCACTTCCAAGATTTAAGACTTGAATTTGTTTAACCTACAAGAATGTAAGATGGTTAGGTTTATTTTATTTTTTTATTTGTGAACTCCAGCTCCGAAGACTAAAGTAGAATTCCAGTTTTGTCTCGAGCACTGAACAGGATGGTCACATAAACAGCGGAGTCAGCAACAAGACAACAGCATCATCCCCACGCAGGAAATAAAATCAGAAACAAAGCCAGCTAGGAGCTCTGTCCTGATGCAGGACCAACGAGAACATGCTGGTACCAACAGCACAATAAAGCAGGACCATTTATGTGCTATATTTTTAGAGAATTAATAATAATTTTKTAAGATGTTTAAAACACAGCTTTGCACAAATAAAAAAAAAACACTTCTGGTGTGTTCTTCTGTGGCCACTTTTAAAATGTTTGAAGCTAGCCGTTTCATCAACTGCATAGTCAATTATTACAGAATAAACAACAACTTTGTTCAAAGGTGACCTTAAAGATACATGCAGTGGAAGGTCTGTTGCAACGTTTTGTTGGGTTTATGTGTCCATGCCAGAAGTGAGGGGTTGTCCCAATTCTCTTCTGAAGAAAATTTCTCTGCAAACGGTGTTTCACCTCCGAAAATGTCTGTTATGAATATGAGTGACACATGAGCAAATGTCCAGCCACCCTACTGCAGCTAATGTTATCCAACATAATAAAATACGTACTGCTGTGTACTGGCAAGAATTTAATGACATGATACGTATAACACCACCTGGGGTCACATATAAGATATATCATGATATATTATGATAAAACGAGGCAATACATTACTCTTCTCCAAAAGATAATAATAAAAAAAAAGTATGGCATGTATTACGTGCATAAAATCGGATTAAATTTAGTTTATTTTTATGCAATCAGAAGAACACTGAATAACAGTGAGAACTATTTCTTCAACATCCATCATTAAGCCTTAATTAAAGATCAATGCAGTGCTTTTGAGAACTGATACAGTATAAGAAAAATGAAATATTGCGATATTTCAGTATGTTGATGGTTTCCTACACTCCTAAAAACTCAGGGAAAACCACATTGTTGTTTAGGTAAATGGTATTGGCAGTGAATGCCACTCTTTGTGGCTCAAATGAAAAGCCCAAGGGGACAATATCTGCTGATCCTGAGGCTTACAACTATGAGGACAAGTTTAATTTTTCCCACCATGTAACACCATGGCCCAGCTGAGGCCAGCAAGTGGTCAGTCATTAGTCAGCAGACAGCCAGAATAGAGGAAAGCCGTCATTCAGCCAGCTGAAAGCAAAAACTGAGCCATCCATGACGAGCACGCGAGTGTAAAGTCAGTGTATTACAGCCGAATGAACCCCATAACAAAAATAAAATAAATAAAATATAATAATTTTAAAAAATGCTGACAGGAGTCCAATCTGGCCCAGGGACAGGGGAGGAGGGCGTGACTATAATTACAGAGGTATTTGGGCACCAGCCAGTTTGGCATTCAGGTCCACTGAGTTTCACAAGCAGCTCGGGGCTMCGTGAACCTCCGACAAGCTCTGCCATTAACCTTGGTCCGTTTCAAGTCCGGATCAGACCCTGGCTACTTCGGCTCACTGAGACTACAGCTACGATTACTCTGGCATCAGATGTCGTGCAGTTAAAACTGACTGATGGCAGCGATTATCTACTCCACTTAATGCTGAAACTAACCAGCAGCACTGAAGGCACTGCTGCTGAAAAGGATGATGGGAAATCAAAAGATGAAGCACGAAAACAGTCAAGATGCTTCTTTTTTTTTTTGTTTATGTTCCAACATCAGAGGTAAATAATTGAGGAGCCAAAATGAAAACATAAAGCTAAAGTTTCCATTTATCAAATTATCTGTTTTCTAATCTATTAAAATAAACACAAGATAAATAACTAAAAAGACTAAAATTACACAGAATAAATTTGACTGTATTAATATACACTGTAGTAAAACACTTTATTAGCAGTTTTATTCAACTAATAGGATGATTTATAATGCCCAATGCTAATTTAACAGCTTAGTGACACTTTTTAACTCAATTTACTCATGTAAGGGATTCTGATGAATAATTAAACCAAGAATTATTTAAATGTAACATTAGGTTTTAAGCCAGAGTGGCAGATAATGAATAACTTTAACATTTAGACTGTTTAAAATACACCAGTTTTTCTCGCTGCATCATTTTCATCAGGTGATCTCAGTTTAACACGACGAACCATTTTATGTAGCTGAGATCAGGGCTGAAGGACCGGGCTTTCTCATGCAGTTTCAGAAATATTCTCTTTAAACCTGGACGTGACAGCTGGTATTTTTTTGTTTTATTATAAATGTTTATTTACGAGGCTAAGCCAGTGAAATCCCGTGTCGAGTGCACTGGAAGCGCGGCTGTTTCTTCTGAGAGGCAGATGTGTCTGTATTTATTTATAACCTGATGTTCCTGCTTTCTAACTCCACTGGTTCCAGAGTAACAACAATAACAACCATTTCCCTGCAGAGCCGGAGCACGTTGGCCCTGGCAGCAGTTTGGGCGTCGGTGCGTGTCCTCGAGCGGCTGCGGCGGTCGGTTTGGTGGGATGCTGGTGGTGTACGTCTGAGGAGGGGGTGGGGGGTGGATGGTAGCTGGGATGGAGGAAGCGCGTACAAACAGCACGGTAACCTGATCCACTGACTGCAGCACGGGGCAGGGAGGGCTAAGAATAGCAGTGAGCCCTGACACACAGCTCGCAGAGTACGTCGCCCCCAGCAGCAGCAGAAGCTGCAGAAACAGAAACATTACTCCACTACAGTGCTGCCCTGCTGTGAGCTCACACACACACAAACATGTGGAAAATACATGTGCTTTTCTCCTGTTCTCCCATGTGGCTGTACTCATGTCTGCACAAACAACGAATCTATAAAAAAAAAAAAAAACAACCTCTAAGAAAATGATACAAACTGAATGAAATTACAAGCAGGGATGAAAAAATGACAACAAGGAGCACAGCGAAGGAGACGCACTTCGCTTGCTGCAGCGATAAACAGCCAGTCACGTGAGAGTGGTCCTTCTGCTAGCAGGATGATGGGGGGAGGTCTCACTCAGCTGCACATTCACTCCCAGCCTTCATTGCCCTCCTCCTCCTCTTCCTACTCTGACTGCGTAATGAGAAGCAGGACAAAGCCAAACGCAAAAGGCCCGATTATCCAGAGAGAGAGAGAGGGGAAAGGCTCGAGGAAGAAATCATAACGAGAAAGAAGCCGAACACCTTCGAAAGTCTTCATGTTTTTACAAATTTTATAAAAACAGGCATATGTTTATTTTTATTTCATCTTGGGACAAATTTTGTCATAAACATTAAAAAATACCCTACACCACATATCACTTTGCAGAACAGTCTTTTGTTATTTTTC